GCAGGATCGCATACTCGCTCCTTGTGCGTGTAACCTCCTGCTGTAGCATCCGTGTAAATTTCCAATCTGGTGTACTGCACCGTGGGATCATACTGGAGCAAACCTTGAAAAGCCTGTGCAGTAGATGAGTGCCAAAAAGGAGCCCAAGAGAGGAGGTCCCTCGAAGGTTGAATAGGCCAGGGGCGCTCCATGAGCTCCAGCGTGGGCCTGAGAGTGGGAAGAGGCGACCGTTGAATGCCTCTGGTGGGCCCCGGTGGGGCCGTCGTAGTACCTTCGACTTCTTCAACACCTGGTAGTGGTGGGAAGTGCTTAGCAAGCTCAAAGAGAGTTGGGTCCGTAGTGGTTCCAGCCGGCGTTGGAAGCCGCTGAGGGGAGGGGGGCATGGGAAAGACATCTAGACAAAACGGGACCTGAGCGAGCATGTGCGAATTTTGACCTGGACGCCCCTCACGCGCAGCTAGCACAGACGCTGCGGGCTCGGGGCTTAGCGAAAAAGCTGGCCGTCCGACAGCGCCTCTGCGCTCGCGGCCGCAGGTAGCCTCGACTGGGCGGCGGCGGCGACAGTCTCAGCGCCGTCGTCGCCCGCGGCCACGTCCCCTGGGCGAGGCTCATCTGGGCGTGCATGCTGTGAGTCCCTGGCCCTCCCCAATGTTGATCTTCACTGTCTTGGGAGCCGACTGCCCACTGGGACGCCTGGGGGAGGTAGAGCGAGCACAGGTGTCCTGGGCTGCTCCCTTGGCTAGTGCTTCCTCAAGGCAGCCTCGGCGTTCCGCGCGAACTTCAGGTGGTAGCTGCTCCTTCTGCTTGGCGGGCGATGCTGCTGCTGCTGCCGCTAGCTTGGGCTCCTGCAAGGCCGTGAGTTGGCTCTGGAGAGCTTCTCGATCTTGTTTGCGGCCATTGTTGACTTCCGTGCTCTGTTTCTGTATCTCTGTCATGGCTGACTTGAAATCGAGCAAATGGGCCAACAGGGTCTGTTGAGAATGCTGCATGCTCGCAAGTAGTCCTGGCGTTGAAGTACTTGATTCGACGTCCGCTGAGCCCGAACTCGGTGAAGCTCCAGGCGGGACACTGGTAGACGGCGTGCGGGGAGTACGTGGTCCCGACGCCGGCGAAGCAGGGGGTGCTCCACTGGGCGTCGTAGGCCACTCGCGTCGCTGTCTGCGCGTGCCCTCGGCTGGGGGGGGGCACACGAGTTTCTTCATCACCATCCTCATCCATATAGTCTGAGGCACATGGACGTCTCAGAGGCTTGGTCACTGGTGAGCGAGCGGCCTCTGCTGCCTTGCGATCTTGTTCTTCTTGAGTAGCAGCTTCTTCGAGATCCCGAAAATGGTCAAGTAGTTCTTCTGCCAAGTCCAGCTCTTTCTGGAGTGCAAGAGACTGGTTCTTGCACGTTTCAAGGTACATCTCGGCTTCCCGTTGGGCGTTGGTGGCTTCGGCGAGCCTACGCTTGGCACGGCTGACGAAGCCCAACTGCTTCGCCGTCCTCGCGCCAGGCGCTCTGGAGTACATCAACTGGTAGAGCACGACCGAATACTCGAGCCTCAGGGCCTGGAGCTGGGTCTTATCCAACCGTAGCTCCTGCGAGCACAAGATCTGGCGCTCGAGGCCCTCGAGCGTGGAGCCTAGCGCCTTGCGGAACTCGCCCAGCTCCTGGGGGTTGGCGGACGGGGGCTCCTGCCAGCGGCGGTGTGCCCTGGCCTCCTCTGGCGAGCACGGCAGTATGTTCAGCGTGTCCTCGTGCTCGTTGGTCTTGTTCTGCGGTCGTCGGGAGCCTTGGCGCTTCCATGGAGCAGGCATGGAGGCTGAGTCTGTCTTGTTGTGCGTGTTGTTCTGCTTCGGCGGATTGCACTGCACCCACTTTGTGGACTCCCACTTGTTGGCGTAGCTGCATGCCGGACACTCCCAGAGATACCGTTGCAGATGCTGCTGTCCCTGCCAGGGCGCTCCACGGCGGCGGGACGACTGCCAAGAGCCAGAGGGCTGCTTGCTACGCTGGGGTGTGCATATCATACTGCTGTGGTGGCTCTTCAACAATTCACTTGCTGCGGCGATTCTTAGCAGAGTCCTGGCTCTGCCTCGGTCGGCCCTGGCACGACGGTGCCAGGCTGGCTCGCCGCACAGATCACGGCTGGCCCTCCTGCTGCGCGCCGTGGCGGGGCGCGTGGGGAGGGCGGGCGCGTCTAGCAGCTGCCCCGCGCGAGAGGTCGCCTTACCTGGTAAGGCACCCGAAATCTTCTCGGGCCGGGGCGGCGGCTGCAGAGGGGGGAGAAGGAGGAGAGGGAAGACAGAAGAAAGGGTTCGTGAGACGATAGGAGGCCTCTTTTTGGGCCTCGTGAGGGTCTTGTGAGGGCCTCTCTGCGCCGCCTCTTGGGGGCTTCTTGGGGCCTCCAGGGGGCCTCTTGAGGGTCTCTTGGGGCCTCTCGGGGGCCTCTTGGGGGCTTCTTGGGGACCTCTTGGGGCCTCCAGGGGACCTCTCTGCGCCTGGAGCTCGAAATATTCGTTAGGGTTCCTCGTCTGGGGCCGTGTTGGGGCGATCCTGGAAGCCTCTTGGGCCGTCTTGGAGCGCCGGGAAGCTCCCAGGGCGAGCACGCCCCAAAAAACTGCAGGGAAATTGCTAATTTCTGCCTCTGTGGAGCCTCTTGGGAGGTCTCTTGGGGCCTCTTGGGGGTCTCTTGGGGCCTCTCGGGGGCCTCTTGGGGGCTTCTTGGGGGCATCTTGGGGCTTCCAGGGGACCTCTTTGCGCCGTCCGTTCGGGTCCCTCGTCTGGGCCCGCTCTTGGAGCCGTCTTGGGAGCCTCTTCGGCCATCTTGGAGGCCTCTGGGGCTGTCTTGGGGCCCTCTGCGGCCGTTGTGGGCGCTCTTGGAGGCTTCTTGGGCCGTTTTGGGGCGATCCTGGAAGCCTCTAGGGCCGCCTTGGAGCGCCAGTATGCCCCCAAGGCGAGAACGCCACAAACCTTCAACAATTGTAGCAAAATCACAGATTTCTGCCTCTGTGGGCCCCCTTGGGAGGTCTCTTGGAGGCCTCTGGGCCCTGGGGGCGTCTTGTTTGCGCTTTGAGCTGTCTGGAGGCCATCTTCGGCGTCTTGGATTGCTCTTGGGCCGTCTCGGGCCATGTTGAGCTCTCTTGGAGGCCACTTGAAGCACTCCTGGAACGCTCATGGGAGCCTGCTGGGACCTGCCCGGGACACGCCCGGGACCTGCCCGGGACCTTGCCGGGAATTGGCGGGACCTTGCCAGGGTATTTTTCGTCCGGGGACCCCGTGGGCGGCCCGCGCGCGCGAATTATAATATTGTTAACCAGTCGCTGGAGATCTTAGCACGCCCTTGGCCAGTTGTGCTGGCGAATTTGAAACGGGGATGGGTCGGTTCTGAGGGCGCCCGCCCCGCCCCGCCCGCTTTTCCCCCTGCAGACCTCGCAGTGTCGCTCGCGCTCGCTGGCAATTGTCTTGAGACAGATTTCGGGGCGAACAGTTTCGCGCGTGCTGATCTGTATGTTCCTCTGTTCGTCTCCCACAGTAACCCGAGTTATAACGCACGTGAGTCACGTGCAAATTAAAGTAGAGTGAGTCCAGCCGTCTGTTGCCTCCCTCTCTCTTTCCAAAGCAACGTATGACTTCGTTGATGCAGATAAGATGTGTTTTACCACGGCCGTAGCTTTCAGTTGAAATGACTGGGACCAAACGCGATATGGACATTCCTGTTCCGCAATTACTGCGTATCCCTCATCGCCCCCCTCTACTTCCCCTCTCTGCCCGACGGCTCCCGTAATGTCCACGCTAGTTGCACCGAGCAGTGTGCATTTCTGATGGGGACGGGGCGATGTTTGCTTCTGGGGGCCTTCTCAGCGGTCCTCTGTGAGCACTTTGGGGCTGTCTTGGGCGCTTCGTGGACCGTCTCGAAGTCGTTTAGGGTCGTCGTTGGGCAAACTTTGGTACGATTTTGAATTTTCTTGGATTGTGAGGTCTGGGGATGTGTTTGGGAGCGCCCGGGGATGCGTTTGGGAGCTCGGCAACGTCGTACCCCCACCTCAAATGGCATTTTGGACTTCAGGGGAGGGGGAACGGGCGAGGGGGACGGCCAAATGTCTCACACGCCTGTTCACCCCATGCAAGCGGGGGTCGGCGGATTCATAGATACACATACACAGCGTCCAGGGCCCTGGGCCCTGGGGCAGCGCGCTTCTCCCAAACTCCTCCCTCTCCCCTGCACCCCATGCCAGGAACCCCCTTCACTTTCTCGAAGGACGCCATTTATACACCAACACCGATCCTGGCGGGGCCCATCTTGCGCCGAGGATTTCTGCACACGCCTTCCTGGGCAAGCAAGGAGGCCGTATGCACCGATCCTGGGGGGGCCTGGCCAGGATCGGTGTAGCTGTAGGTGTACAGTTGGCATCGCCCTTCGAAGAACAACAGCTTGCATAAACACGATGTTTCAGAGGTCCGCGCGGATCTCTTGGGTCGGCGTTGGACGCCCCACGCGGCGCCGTCCTTGGCGCGCTTAGTCCAGCGCCGACCCCAAAAATCCTTGCGGATCTCCGCAAGTTATTGTTTACTCCGAGGCTGGGACTTGCACATATCCACCGCTTTGGAGTCCGATATGCTGCGACCCGATGGGGGGCGGTGGATGTGGTTCTATTCTGGCCCCCTGGTGCCTAGATTCTAGGCCTCCCAGCTGGGGTCCAAGCAGATGGGGTCGGAGGATTTCGCCGCATCGCCGCTGCACCGGCGATGCGGTTCGATGTGGAGTTCGGATTGCTCCACGCCGATGGCGGCGATGCATCGCCAGCGTCGCCGATGCATCGCCGATGTGTCGGCGATGCATCGGCGATGCGGCGCGATGTTCCGACCCCGTCAGCTCGGATCCAAATCTGGGAGTCTCCCGCAAATATGCCCGTGTCCACCGCCCCCTGGGCTCCTGTAGGAGGTCGGCGGCGGCTATGTACATCCGCCCGCCTCGCACGTCTGACCAGCTTTCTGCTCCCCTGCTCCTCCCGAGGTCGCTCGACCCGCGCTGCACCTTGACTTCCCGAGGTGCCGCGGGCGAAAAAAGTGTATAACAGAAGGTTTTTTCCTGCGTCGGGTGCGCCTGCCCCAGGGCGGCAGGGAAGCCTTTACCCTTACGGCGGCGCGTCAGAGTTTACAAGGCTGAGAAGAAACACACATAGACACAATGAATCGTCGATTCCCAGGAATACTTGCAACAATGGGAAGCAGGGGGGACGACGAAAATCCAGAAATGATGGGAAAATATGGGGAATCCTCGGATTTGTGTGTATTTATTTGTGTATTCTTGGGCCCCTTTAGTACAGTCTTCCCAGAAACCCTGTGCATTCTGTCTCGGCAGGGGTCATCGAGGAGCATTTTGGGTCATCTCGCGAAAGGATCCACGCGCGAACGGACGTCCGAGCGATGGCGAGTTCCCCGGATCGGTTTTTCATCCCGAGTAGTTTTCGACGGCCCCGAAGGCTGGCACGGGCCCCCAGAGGCCGAACACAGCGAAAAACTTGCCGTCGTGGTTTTTGCTCATGCTTCGAGGGGTTCTGGTCCCCAGCCGCCCGGGGGCAGGCGTCCCCGAGGGTGGAGATGTCTGTCTGTACCGCTCCTCGCCCGCTGAGAGGTCGGAGGCCGACTCGCCCAGGAGGCCCGCAGCACCCTGGCCGACCCCGCGGCCCCCGGATCGGCCGAGGCGGAGGAGGAAAAAACGGCACGACGAAGCCTTTTCGGAGCGCCGCGCGGATTTCCCAGACATCCAGCGTTTCGAAAGATCCGAGACGGGAGTTTGCATCGCCTGCGGCCTCTTAGGGCCCTTGCTGGGCCTCGGGACCATCGCTTTTTGCGACGCGGGATGGAAACCTGGTCCCAGGGAAGGTGTCGAGAGGCCCAAGGCCTGTGCCCTGAAACATCGAGACGTCGGATGTCTGTGTTCTTGGGTCGGCGCCGGACGCCCTGCCGTTGCCCGGGGGCCCCACCCCGCTCCCCCAGGGTGACGACCGTCCTGCCGTTGTCCCGTCCTGTCGTTACCCCGACCCACGAGTCTGGTAACCCCGCCCTCTCGTTTCCCTGCCGCCCCCCCCCCCCTCCCCACTGGGGAACGACCGTTCACCGAAATAATATGAAAACAACATCGATCGGCGCTGAAGCCCCCCCTTCCCTGGCGCGCGGAGTGCGCCAGGGGCGGCGCCAGAGGCACCGCCAGGAGGGCTCCCGCGCCGATCCGAGAAAAAAAGATCCGCAAGGAGCTCCGAAAGTTTCTGCCGATGCAGTCTTTTCTGCTTCTGCGAGGGACAGGGCCTCGGACGCCGCTGGGGGAGCGCCCGAGCAGGACGAGGAGGAGGAGGAGGAGGACGACGGCGAGGAGCCTGCGCGCCCCAGGAACAGGAGCACGAAAGTCTCGCTGTGAGAAGAGCTCACCTGCACGCGACGCGCGGAGGCGCACTCCGCAGCGCCGCTCGCCCAGCTGCTGCCCCAGGCTGCGCCTCACAGCGCCCAGCGTCGACGCACAGACTGCCTGGGGCGCCCGGGGTGCCTTGGGGTGTGCTAGGCAGGCCACCACTCCTGGCGAAGAAGAGGGCGGCGTATGGCATAAGCGTCTACTTTCGGAGGCCCGCGCGGCGTTCTTGGATCGGCACTGGACCACCTGATGACGCCTGTTGCCCTCCGCGCGCCAGGGAGGGAGTTCTGGCGCCGACCCAAGAAATCCGCGCGGAGCTCCGAGCGTTCTGTTTAAGCCGCTTCTTGTTCTTCTTCTTATTCTTCTCCTTTTTCTTCTTTTTCGAATGCCTGTGCCTGCTTCTTGCACCCCCTCCCCCCAGAAGGGGGCCGGGCTTTGGTGGGAGGGCCGCCCGCACCACGGGGGCGAGGACGCCGCGAACGCGGCGGCGCGGGCGCCCTGGCGAGCTTGCTCGCTGGCGCCCAAAATACTTGTTTTTGCTGTTGTTGCTGTTGTTGTTGTTGTTGTTGTTGTTGTTGTTGTTGTTGTTGTTGTTGTTGTTGTTGTTCTTGTTATTGTTATTGTTATTGTTATTGTTCTTGTTATTGTTCTTGTTTTTTTTCTGGCGCTCTACGCTGCCCGCAACTTCTGTTTAGTTTGCATCTCGAGGCGCAGCGTTTGCGCTGAATGATGCCCCACATGCATGGAGACCGTTGGTTAATTATGTGTTGGGAACTTGGAATGCTGCAGTTCCGTGTTGGCGACACTTGGGATGCGGCAGGAGACTATAGTTTCAATGATTATGTACAGTGCTCAGGCAGAGTTCTGGATCACAACGCACATGCCGTTGGCAGCGGATTTTTCGGCTGCAGCGTCCATTTCCACGTCCTAGGGTGTACAGGGTGCTGTCATGGCAGTGGTATGGATTATTGTGTGTTGTCTTGTATCGCACTCTTGCTGGACAGACATTGCGGCGTTGCATCTTATGGAGACATCTGCTTACCTGCGCTGTACTTCATGAAGCCAGACCAAAAGAAGTTTCGTATTAGCTTTGTCATTGGCAAGACCAGACCAAAAGATTCATTGTCCAGGCGCAACTGCAGTTCAAAGTTTCCTCTTGGCTTTGGCATTGGCAAGCTAAAGGCGCATTACACCTAAAACTGCCCTGAACGTGATAGCATTCTGCAACCATTGTGAGTACATATAGAACGGGATGTCACATACTTAGGCATTATTCTCAATCGTATCATCTTGCGCACGCACTGCACTTAATCCGGACGCAAATGCACGTGTGTATGTCTATGAATGGGTATAGGTCTAGGTCCAGGTCTAGGTCTAGGTCAGGATATGTTATATGTTTACTTGTACGCATTTGTAAATGCAGATGCCGATGTGTAGGCGCACGCTTATGCATATGTATGTGTATACTGTATATGCGTATGTGCGAAGTGGCATGCGCGCATACACACAACATTTGAAGGACCTCTCCGCTTCGCCTGAACTCTTGGCCCACGCATCGCCCATGGGGAGTGAGGATCTACAAGGAACTCGGGAGCAGGAGGGGTCGGAGGAGCTGGGCTCGGAGCGGGAGGGAGAAGTAGTGGAGAGAACGAACCCCTGTCAAGACATTTGGCGTTTCTGCCCCTCAGGGGGGCGTTGTTCAAGAATGCACATGAATTTTCGCTGCGAGGCATAATTACTAAGAGGAGCGGCTTCCAACACATCTGCCACCAGCATTGTTTGAGCCTGCATGATGGGAGGGAAAAGGCACGGGGGCGGCGGAGCAAGGATGAAGAGACGAGGGCCTCTCCTCTTCCTCATTCCAGTGCTCCGTTTGCTCCTCCTCTTCCTCCTGGTGCTCCGTTTGCTGTTCCTCCTCCCCCTTCTTCTCTTCTTTCGCCTACGCGGGGCAGTCGTGCCGCTCTTTTGGGGCCGCTTTGAAGCCCACCCCATCCATCGCGGCCATGGCTACACCCCTTTGGGTGTATGCATAGCCTCTCGGGGCCACGTTATAACCATCCTGGGCTCTTCTGACTCTCGCGGGGCCGTCTCGGAACTTCGTGCAGCTGTTTTTTGTGCCCATTGCGGGACCGTGCAGGGTTCTTTGGAAGCCTTCTTGGGCCGTGTTGGGTTCCTTCGGAAGGCCTCCAATGGCTTGGACCCTCTTTGGACCCACTTGGGCCCCTCCATCTTGGCGCCACCCGTAGGAAGCATTTTCGTAGCCTCTGGTAACCTCTTGGGGGCCTGTTGGGGCATCTTGGTGGGGCCTCTTAGAGGCCTGCTGGCGGTAAGAGGAAGCCTTTCACAGATAGCTGGGGCATCCAGCAGGGCTTCTGGGAACCTCGTTTTGGAGGCTGTCTGACACCTCCGGAAACATCGTGTGGGATGCGGACGTGACGCTTCTTGGCGGCTTCTTGGAGTCTCTTTTGGGAAACCTCTTCGGGAGCCTATTGGAAGCGTTTTGGGGAGCCTCCAGGGGCCTCCAGGGGGCAAGTTGGTTTTCTCAGCTACTGGGGGGCCTCTCTTGGGGCACTCTTGGTGGAGTCTTGGGTCCTTTCGGGAAGCGTCTTGGGCCGTCTTGGTGTCTTCTCGGGCCGTCTTGTAGTCCTCCTGGGCTTCTTCGGCAGTCTTGGGCCGATCTTGAGGGCCTTGAGTCGTCTGGGGCGGTCAACATCTCGGGTATCATCCCGGTTTGCAGGCTTCGGGCTCGTGTATGGGAACATCGCGTGGAACGTGCACGCGAATCCTCTTGGCTCTCGGGAACTGATTGGAAGCATTTTGGGGTCCTCAGGGGGCCTCTTGGGGGCCTCTTGGGGGCTCGGCATCTGGGGAGAGTCTGGGGGCCTCTGCGGTGGGGGCCCTGGGTGCGTCATAGTCGGATTTTTGGGCGTGTTTGGCCCTCCTAGGACCTTTGCGGGCCTTCTTCGGGTTTCGTGGCGGCCTCGTCGGCCTCTTTGAGGCGATCGCAGAGTCCTCTTGGACTGTCTTGGGTGGTCGGGGATCGGATGCAGGACAACTCAAGATGTGTAAAACAAACTCTCAGATTCCCTGGAGGTCTTCTATTGAGCCCTACGAGGCCGCTACGAGTCCCTGCGTGCCCCTGGAGCCCCTCGGGGGCTCGCCTCGCCTCTTCCCTCTCCTGTCCGCTTGCCGCCCCTCCTTGCCCGTGCTCGTGCGTTTTATCGACCCGCCTTTGCCCCGCGGCCTTCCTGGCTCGAAGACCAGCCTTCTAGCGTTTAGCTAGAGCGTACTGGGCGCCAATTGGCGCCCCGGTGCAGGCGAACGCTGGGCGGGCGGCCTGCGAGCTCGCAGGACAGAGGTGCGAGTGCTGTAGTCAGAGGGTTTCTGCAATCAGACTGTCATCGCGGAGCCTGTGGTACCGATCGCGGGCGTGGTCGGACATTTGCCAGGTCTTTGACACAGAGCTCAGACGCTACCAGAAGCTCGCGAGATGAACGAGTAAGGGCAAGGACGCTCTTACTACCGCGATGATGAGATTGTTGTGGACAGAAACGGTTTACCACACTACGGGCACGAATTCAGCGCTGCCGAAGGTGTACAGGAAAAGGGCCGCTCTGGCATTGGCACGGCTCGAGGGATCAGGAGATGACGATGATGCGGTCAAGACGAGCCTGGAGAAAAAAGGAAACGTTTCAGAATCAAGTTGCTGGACGGTTTGATTGGGCGGGCTTGGAAGCGCGCGGAGCACTTGGCGACAGACCCGGTGGATCTCAAGAGAGAAGACGGTGAGCAGCTGATCTTCGACGCGCTGGCCACGTCAGACAAGGAAGCGATAGTCAAGAAAGGTATGGCGTTCGACAATTTCTCCAAGCAGAGCTATTGGAAGAAAGGCGCAGGCATCGGTGAGTACCTGTCAAGCAAGGAGAAATTATTTGAATGTTTGCGGGAGAATGGCAACAACACGACATTGTCGGACGATCTGATGGTTTTTTTCTTTCTGGACGGGGCGGGCCTCGCCGAGGATCAGAAGAGAAGCGTTGTGATGAACAGCGTTTCGGCGTATAGGTTGGATTCATTTCTGCACGCGCTGAGGGTAAATTCCAGGACATCTACGAGCGAGAGTGGTGCCAGCCTGGAAAACACCACCACCATAATATCAACAAAGAGAGCAATGACCACCGCGGCAAGGCGAACAATGTCGAGGACCACGAGGACGGCGAGATCTCGGGCGAGGAGCTCGACGAGGGCGGTGGATGACGAACAGGACGCCTATGGCAGTGACGCAGGAGCCTCCAACGACGATGCGGTTTACGAAGCGTGCTCGGCGTGCGATGCGGCGCGGAAGAAATTGAGGGGCGCGCAGATGCAGCGGGGATTCTTCACAGGCGAGGTCCCTTTAGAGGAGCGCCAAGAGGCGATCGAGGAGGAAAAGAAGAGGACTCGTTGCTGCGCTCGTGGGCGCATGGGGCACTGGGCGGGCCACAAGGACTGACTGTCCGACGTGCTGGGCGCGAGGCAGTTTGGCTGGAAAAGGCGGAAACCCAAGGGGCAAGGCCAATCCAGGTAAGACAAAGCACGCGTGCTTCACGCTCGACGAGAATGATGGCGACGAGGAGATGGCCGACGCCAGCGCTGTGGGCGGAGAAAAGTATGAGGATTGCGAGCAAGACGGCGAAGGTGCAGACGACTAGTTATAGATGACTCTACGGGGGCTCGAGCGGGCCAGAGGCCGGCCCCCTCGTCGGCGAGCGCGACCGGGACTAGCGCAAAGACGGCGGCTACCACGACAGGGCACACCAACGACCGCAAGAAGTCTCAAGGACCAGCTGCAGCGGTAACAATGCCTAAGGCGAAGCCGAAGGCAAAGGTCAAGCCGGCCAAGACCCTGGGGGCGGAGTTCAAGGACGCGGAGGACTTCCTTCGATTGGAAGGCTTACGAGCTCAAGAGGGGCCTGAACGAGCTGGGCCTACAGGTGAGCGGCAAGCGCGAGGTGCTCATGTAGAGGCTGAGCGGCTACAACGAGGGACGCGCTCAGGTGGATAATGGCCGCAGTATTGCGAGGACGGTTGGGGCATCGTGTTCAGGAAGCTCGACGCGGATGCCGGGCGAGAACATCAAGTGCGGAGACTGCGGGAAGCACGGGCATCGCGGAGGGGCGTTTGTTCACCGCTGCGCGTGGATATGAAGATTTTCATGACCATCCAGGAGCGCCGCGAGCATATCAAGAGCGGGCTTGACAAGAATGCCCTCGCCAAGCTGACGATCAATAAGCTAATGACATGGAGTGCGTCGGCTTCCTCGGCGGCCTGGGAGTTCATCTACGAGAAGGGCGACGCCGCCGAGCTCATCTGTCCCGTCCGTCGCAGGGCTGGAATGGCCCTGAGGATAAACGAGACGAACGGGGGCATGTTCTACGGATGCCCGAACTACCTCGCCATCATGAGGGGCCAGGAGACGCTGCGCAAGGGCGGCTCGGCGAGCCGTTCGTATCGCAAGTAAGCGTGGGGAAGAGGCTCGACGTCTGAGTGCGGGGAGCTGCCCAGGTCAAGGGCGGATGCGCCCATCTTGGAGACGCCGAAGAGGCTTGCAGCCGAGCGGGCCGACGAGCACAAGCTCATCTTGTTCAGCGCTGGTGATGAACATAGCTTCGGACAGCTGGGTGGCTCGAGAGCGGCCTTCGCCGTTGGGGTCGATTCAGACAGCGAGTCCACCGCAGTCAACTTTGACGC